ACCCTGGGATTATGACTTGAGCCATAGGCAAGCGCTTAACGACTGAGCCACCCAGGTGCCCTTTTTATGGTATACTTAATGGTATGCTTTCATAGGAACATTTTATAGGGAAAAGTTTATATTTGAACTTTATAATCATAACAAGGTAGACTACATGGAGATTGAGGATAAAATATACTATATTAAATATGTCTTGAGCTTTTTGAAATTCAGTTTGGATTTGTAAGCTTGGGGCACAGATGAGATCTGGGGGAAGCTTTTCAACACAACATATTTGCTATCAAATTTTTGGTTACAACATCAATCCAAGAAAATTTCCAGTGTGTTCTCTCTGTGTCTTACTGTTTAATGATTAAAATAGCCTTTTCCGGTGGGGCCCCTGTGTGGCTCAGTCAGTTAAGCATCCAGCTCTTTATTTTGCCTCAGGTCATGATCTCAGGGTCATAAGATCAAGCCCCACATTGGGCTCCACGCTACGCGTGAATACTGCTTGGAATTCTTTCTCTCTCCCTCTTCCTCTGCCTCTTCCCGCCTAACTCATGCTCTTTCGCTCTCTCTCTCTCTCAAAAAAATAAATAAGTAAAAAATAATAATAATAAAATAGCCTTTTCCCAATTATGTGGGGTACTATCAAGGATGTGTTTTCTAACTTTTAGATTTTACATAAAGTTTAATTCAAAGCTAGGTATAAAGAGGATACTTGAAGAGAAATTTGTGTGTGTATGTGTGTGTGTATGTATGTGTGAATTTGCAAACTTTATAAAGATAATTTCAATGTTATTGTGAGAAATTTTATGCTTTAAAATGGAGAAAAAAACAATCACTAAGTAATTTTTATTTTAGAAAATGTGTCAAGTCATTAGATATTTTATTTGAATAGTTTTTTTATTTGTTACTTTTTGACTGGGAATTCTCCTCTTACTGAAAGTTTCCTGCTGGTATAAACTCTATGATTGTTTTAACCATTTCTATCAAACTACCAAGTCCATAAAAACAAAACAAAACAAAACAAAAACTACCAAGTCCATATATATAGCTTCCCCCCCCCATTGTATGAAAAGTTCTGTTTAGATATGCACTGACAAAAATTACTGGGCACTGCTCAGCAGTGTGAACAATTGCTGAGATGCAATGATATACTTACTCCATTAAAGCACTTGGCCAACTGTTAACCTGTCTCAATACTGAGACTTTGTAAGTCCTCGAGTCTGGGGCAGTGGGGCTCTTTCAAATACTTGAATCTGAGGTGAGGGGTAATCCTTATCCTAACTAGGACTCTGGTTTCCACTTTGGGTGTGCCATGACCAATGGAATTTGGCAATCCATAAAAACACAAAATGTGTTCCTGATGTATTTGCAGAAATAATCATTTTACTTTTCAAATGTGTCAGGCAGAGGCGTAAGTTCCATTTCGCAGTCTTCAAGTGATCCTTCCCCTCTAGGGTACGGTTCTCAACACGCATCAGCATACTTAGAGGGCTTATTGAAACAGATTATTGTCTTTGCCCACAGAATTTCTGATTCAATAGGTATGGGATGGGCGTGAGCATCTGCATTTCTAATAGGTTTCCCGGTGATGCTGATGCTGATGCTCCAGGAAGCACACCATGAGAATGATGGCTTTAATGCTGACTTTCTCAAAGTCAGATTCTCAAATCCTCAAGTCAGAATTACCTGGATTGCCTAGTAATCTTTAGATCATCAGGACCTATGATGATGACCTATATCCTAATCTCCAGGGTGGTGTGATAATGATTTGCCTTTTCTCAAGCTCCTCAGATGCTCCAGGTGTACATTTACACTTGAGAAGCAGTTAGAGGGGAGGTCCAGGGATACTGTTAGCCAGAGAAAACACTGATCAAGTCTCCTCTCAAACATTACCAATTTTATACCTGTCAGTTGGCATCTAGTAGTTGTTTTATACATAGTAAATGAATTAATTTAAAATGAATAAATGCAAGCAATTAGTTCCTATTCCTTTTTGCTTCTAGCACTTTTTCTTTATTCTACTATAGAATATATCATCCATATTTTAACTACTTGTTTATTCGACTGCCTCCATCTAGACAGAGACCTTATCTTTTTGTTGTATCTCCAGTGCCAAACCCAGCATCTGGCACATAATATGTATATTATCAGTATTTGTTAGATTAAATGATTGTAAATGTTGAGTAGAATATTTCTTAGGGTTAGTCTGAAAAAGAGGTTGCATGAATTGTTAAATTCCCTTGATTTCTCTGAATATACATTAAAATTTGGAAGAGGAGGGCCAGCCTAGTAGATTCAGGTATAGTATGAAGACTGAGACCACAGCTAGAAAAGCCACAGGCAAGTCCGAAGGAGTAGGGTGGTACCAAGATACAGCATGAAGTCAGGGGTCTGGAACATAAAATATCACATATGTTTGGTATATATATGCAGTTGGAACAGGCGGCATTTCAGAGGTGAAGAGAATAAGTGGGGGAACGAGAAGTGGATTATGTAGATTTGATGAAGCTAGTGTGTGCTAAGAATTTTGTGGGTGGTCAGAAATGAGAACATTAAGGGATGTAAAAAAGGATTAGAACATGACAAATGAAGTCAGGCACTTCATCCCTACCAAATTAACCTTGGCAATGAATTCATTGGTAGTCTAGCTCCAGTTACTTTTGTTTGTTTGTTGTTTTTATATTTATTAAATTTTTCAGTTACTTTTCTACATTTCAAAGGCAGGAAGCAAAATAAAGGACGTTTTAATAGGGTTAGTCTGCTGATACACTAAAAAAGCCTAGAGTAGAAATGGACTGTGGCATGGAGAGAAGTTCCTGATTGTGTGCTTGAAATCAAGGATTGTTTAAATACTAATGTTCTTGTTTCTGCTGTAGTCCACATTCATTGTTTAAATTCTAAATCCTGTTATAGTCTCCCTGAATAGATTTACGATGCCCTGGTTTTGTTTGTTTGTTTGTTTGTCTGTTTGTTTGTTTTTTTTAAGATTATATATTTTATTTTGAGAGAGAGAGAGAGAGAGCATGTGCATGGTGGGGGAAGGGCCGAGGGAGTCTGAAGTGGACTCCGTTGAGCATGGAGCACTAGGTGGGGCTCAATCTCTCTACCCTGAGATCATGACCTCAGCAGAAACCAAAAATCCAATGCTCAACCAACTGTGTTACCCAGGCACCCCAATCCTGTTTTTTGATAGTCTTGTTTAATTTCCTGTTCCATGCTTTTCAACTATCTCCTGGATTTCAGACCTCTCCTTATTGTACTCATAAATTACCTGAATTTTCAGTCTTCTGTCCAAACAACCTATATTCCTCATCTTTAGTCCATTCTGTTCTTTGAGGTCTGTGTGTATTTGTATTGGATTGCTGCCACCATATGTCTTCCAGTCATAGGCTGGTGCCGGTCATGTGCATTCCACTTTAAGTCTGTCATAAGGTCCTTGCCCTAGATTCATAGGTTTTGCCACTCACATCCATATAGTACCCACTATACTCCCCTTGTTTATATTACTTGGTGCTGCCTGGTTCCCTTTCCAAGAGCATGTAGGGACAAATTAGTTCATACTTCTATTTCACTTTTTTTTTTATTATTTAGAAATGAAATGCCAAAAATTTCTAAGGAGAGTGGTTTTATGACCAACCAGAGGTTCAGAGCCAAAGAAGGTCTAAATCTTCTTTCAAATTATGTGAGAATCAGATTTTCAGAAATCAATGTGTATTAAAACCGTACAAAGATCCTTTAGTTTAGATTCTGGACTCGGAACACTAAAGGCAGGGTTTTTGTTTTCTTTTGTTTACTAATTAAAGCTTTGGCATAACTCAAAAGTCATGAGTTATGTAAGAAATTATTCATGGTGTAAGAAATTATTCATGAATGTCCCACTCATTGCAGGACAACCAGCATTGTTTGATGAGCCAACTAAATACAAGCCACATCTCCTACCATATGGTATACCAGAACATGCCTACGAATCTCCCAGATGTCTAGGAAGAGTTAGTGCCACTTCTAAAGAGAACCATTGATTTAGATTATTCCATTTTCAATTTTTGGGATTGGGAATGAACCCACAGAACATAAGAATGCTCAAAACGTGAGCAAAATCAGCAAAAAGGAGAGGGAATGACTATTGGGTAGGCATCCACCAGGGTGTGCCACAAGAAACAGGCTAGACAATACTCTATAAGGTCCTTTCTAGCTAGAGAGTTGAAACTATTTAATGTCACAAAATGCAATATAAGTTTATTTATGTGTATAATCATGGATAATGGATATTTACATTACATATATTCATAAATCGTGATTCAAAATTTTAAGGACAGATTCTTCAATTGCTAAATATAATAGGTAGAAGAACTTCTTTTAAAGATAAAAGATACACAATCAAGATATTTAAATCTAAGCTTGCAAAGAATGAAAAGATGTCATGTGGCATTTTAGAATAATGATAATTTGGGCTAAAATTGAAAATTGTTCAATGTTTAATGTAAATACTACCATTTTGGTATTATTGAGAACAAATGAAGTCAACACTATTTAATTCAAATTTACCTAATTAAAAATTAAAACTACACATTATTTTGTATTTCATTTCTTTCTGAGAAAGGGATATAAATAAAATCTCTTATCCTTCCTCATTTGGCTGTTATAATGGATGATCAGGAATCACCTCTGAAGTTTCTAGCATAGTCAATGGGTCCAGTATGTTTGGTAGATGTTTGCTTCATAAATAATTAAATGGTTTTAATGAAACATTTCAGAAAAGATTGTGTAGATCTAATGTAAGATTATTTTATTATTAATAGTTTTAATACTGAAAACAAATTTTTCTCTCTATTTTCCTGAGTTCTTTTACTCTAGATTATCTTACATGGATTAACACATATTTTTTATATGAAATACAGGTTTATATAATGATGATAGATGACTATGAATTCGTAATCATTAAAAGAACAGGCTTTTCTATATCTTGCTATCATTCTGATTGTTCACTTTCTCATGTTTTTGTTGTTCTTTTTGCAGGGATTCGATAAACAAGTGGATGTGTCATATATTGCCAAACATTACAACATGAGCAAAAGCAAAGTTGACAACCAATTCTATAGTGTGGAAGTGGGAGACTCAACCTTCACAGTTCTCAAACGCTACCAGAATTTGAAGCCTATTGGCTCTGGGGCTCAGGGAATAGTTTGGTAAGTGGAATATATATATATATATATATATACATATATATATATATATATTTATTTATTGAAGTATAATTAACATACAGTGTTTTATTAGTTTCAGGTGTACAACATAGTCAACAATTCTGTACATTACTTTGCTCATCGTGATAAGTGTAGTTACCATCCGTCACCAAATGTTACCACAATCTTATTCACCCTATTTCCTATGTTGTACTTTTCATCTCTGTGACTTCTTTATTTTATAACTGGAAGTTTGTACTTTTAATCCCCTTTATCTATTTCACCCATGCCCCCTGCCCACCTCTCCCCTCTGGCAACTACCAGTTTGTTCTCTGTAGTTAAGAATCTGGTTTTTGGTTGTTGTTTGTCTCTTTGTTTTGCTTTTTAGATTCCACATGTGAGTAGAATCATATGGTATTTATCTTTCTCTGACTTATTTCACTTAACTTGCATTTTGAAAAGGAATAATGCTGTATATGTCAACTAGCCACAAATACACACACAAACATAAATAAATAGCATGATTGGAGATGGGAAGAATACTTTCTATCAAAGAAAAATAAAATTACGAGCATTATTTGTAATTCATTACCCATTTACTAAAATATGTACAACTTTTGCTTGTGACTAGTCTTTCTACTCACCAAAAATGTCCATTACACAACAACCATGGAGAAACAAAACCAGAGATTTTCTAGCTGTTGCTAATACATTTAGAAAATTGCATTTGGATGTTTTCACAGCAGGAAATGAGGGGATATGTGTTAAGATAACAAGCGAATATAATTCCCTGCACTCTAAAGAAGTATAAATGATATCTCAAATGTTCCTGTCACTTTTAAAGATCAATATTTAAAATTCAGTTACCTATTAGAAAAAGTGGTACTTAAAAATGTCTGTTGTATGTTTCCAAAATGGAAAGATTCTGGGCTCCCTTAGTAACCATTATTTTATGACATTTTTGAGTGGCAGTTTGAAATGATGACAAATCAAAACCTGATTACCTGTTATAAAATTCTTGCAAAAGTGATGATATCAAATTGATAAGCATTTATTTTATGTAGTTTTAACTTGCAGTGTAACCACCAAATGTATTTACTATGAACTTATTAGCGTAAAAATTTTCAACTTGATGACTCATACCTATAAGTGAAAATTTAGCACATGCACCATAAATATATATATTTACTTATAGAAGATATTTACTTAGTTCAATATATTTATTTGTTATATAAATTACTGCTACATTAGTAATGTCCATTTAGAAACACGAACACTTTTAAAGGATGAGCTAAAGGTGAAATAAACATTATTTAAAAACATTTTATTTACAACTTTTTTCACTCATTTGATACAATGTAATTTTGATGATAGCAATGTGGTAGTGGTAGTGCTCATTTTTTTTTTAAACTTTCTTCTTATATTTCATAAAAAAGTTTAAAATCTGGTTCACTTCATTTTTTATTTTTCTAAGAATTTTTTTTAGAGCAAAATGATTCACAGCAAAATTGAGAGGAAGGTACAGAGATCTTCCGTATTCCTCTATATTCCTCCTACCTCCACACATGCATAGCCTCCCCCATCATCAACATCCCCCACAAAAGTGGTACATTTATTATAAATGATGAACCTACATTGATACATCATAATTACCAAAGCCCAGAGTTTACGTTACGATTTATTCTTGGTGTTGTACTTTCTGTGGATTTAGACAAATGTAAAATGATATGTATCCATTATTATAGTATCATATACAGTATTTCCACTGCGCTAAAAATCCTCTATACTCCACATGTTCATCCCTCCTCTTACTCCCAAATCCAGGCAGCCATTGATCTTTCTACTGTTTCCATAGATTTTAAAGATTACTTTTATTTATTTATTTATTTATTTATTTATTTATTTATTTATTTATGAGAGGGGGTGGGGAGAGAGAACAAGAGCAGTGGGGAGGAGCAGAGGGAGAAGGAGAAGCAGACTTCCCGCTCACCAGGGAGCCTGAGGCAGGACTCCATTCCAGGACCTGGAGATCAAGACGCAAGCTCAAGGCAGACACTTAACTGACTGAGCCACCCAGGTGCCCCTTTATTGTTTCCATAGATTTGCCTTTTCCAGGATGCTATATACTTGGAATAAAACAGAATGTATCTTTTTTAGATTGGCTTTTTTCACTTAGTAATATGCACTTCAGGTTCTTTCATGTCTTTTCATAGATTGATAGCTCATTACTTTTTATCACTGAATATTTCATTGTCTAGTAATGCCACAATTTATCCATTCACCTACTTTAGGACATTTTGGTTCATTCCAGGTTTTAGTAATTATAAATAAATATCTTTATGCTTTAAATATCCAGGTACAGGTTTTTGTGTGGACATAAATTTTAAAGGTTCACTTCATTTTAATATCTGTTTTTTTAAATTTTATTATGTAATGTTAATTACCATACATTATATCTTTTTTTTGTTATTATGTTATGTTAATCACCATACATTACATCATTAGTTTTTGATGCAGTGTTCCATGATTCATTGTTTGCGTATAACACCCAGTGCTCCGTGCAGAACGTGCCCTCTTTAATACCCATCACCAGGCTAACCCATCCCCAACCCCCTCCTCTCTAGAACCCTCAGTTTGTTTTTCAGAGTCCATAGTCTTTCATGGTTCATCTCCCCCTCCGATTTCCCGCCCTTCATTCTTCCCCTTCTGCTATCTTTTTTTTTTTTAACATATATTATTTGTTTCAGAGGTACAGGTCTGTGATTCAACAGTCTTGCACAATTCACAGCGCTCACCATAGCACATACTCTCCCCAATGTCTATCACCCAGCCACCCCATCCCTCCCACCGCCCACCACTGCAGCAACCCTCAGTTTGTTTCCTGAGATTAAGAATTCCTCATATCAGTGAGGTCATATGATACATGTCTTTCTCTGATTGACTTATTTTGCTCAGCATAACACTCTCCAGTTCCATCCACATCGTTGCAAATGGCAAGATTTCATTCCCTTTGATGAATGCATAATATTCCATTGTATATATATACCACATCTTCTTTATCCATTCATCTGTCGATGGACATCTAGGCTCTTTCCATAGTTTGGCTATTTTGGACATTGCTGCTATAAACATCGGGGTGCACGTACCCCTTCAGATCCCTACATTTGTATCTTTGGGGTCAATACCCAGTAGTGCAATTGCTGGATCGTAGGGTAGCTCTATTTTCAACTGTTTGAGGAACCTCCATAGTGTTTTCAAGAGTGGCTGCACCAGCTTGCATTCCCACCAACAGTGTAAGAGGGTTCCCCTTTCTCCGCATCCCCACCAACATCTGTCCTTTCCTGACTTGTTAATTTTAGCCATTCTGACTGGTGTGGGGTGATATCTCATTGATGTTTTGATTTGGATTTCCCTGATGCTGAGCAATGTTGAGCACTTTTTCATGTGTCTGTTGGCCATTTGGATGTCTTCTTTGGAAAAATGTCTGTTCATGTCTTCTGCCCATTTCTTGATTGGAACATTTGTTCTTTGGGTGTTGAGTTTGATAAGTTCTTTATAGGTTTTGGATACTAGCCGTTTATCTGATATGTCATTTGCAAATATCTTCTCCCATTCTGTTGGTTGTCTTTTGCTTTTGTTGACTGTTTCTTTTGCTGTACAAAAGCTTTTTATCTTAATGAAGTCCCAATAGTTCATTTTTGTCCTTGCTTCCCTTGCCTTTGGCAATGTTTCTAGGAAGAAGTTGCTGAGGCTGAGGTCGAAGAGGTTGCTGCCTGTGTTCTCCTTTAGGATTTTGATGGACTCCTGTCTCACATTTAGGTCTTGCAACCATTTTGAGTCTATTTTGGGGTGTGGTGTAAGGAAATGGTCCGGTTTCATTCTTCTGCATGTGGCTGTCCAGTTGTCCCGACACCATTTGTTGAAGTGACTGTCTTTTTCCATTGGACATTCTTTCCTGCTTTGTCAAAGATTAGTTGACCATAGAGTTGAGGGTCCATTTCTGGGATCTCTATTATGTTCCATTGATCTGTGTGTCTGTTTTTGTGCCAGTACCATACTGCCTTGATGATGACAATGTTGTAATAGAGCTTGAAGTCCGGAATTGTGATGCTACCAGCTTTGCTTTTCTTTTTCAACATTCCTCTGGCTATTCGGGGTCTTTTCTGGTTCCATACAAATTTTAGGATTATTTGTTCCATTTCTTTGAAAAAAGTGGATGGTATTTCGATAGGGATTGCACTGAATGTGTAGATTGCCCTAGGTAGCATTGACATCTTCACTATATTTGTTCTTCCAATCCATGAGCATGGAACGTTTTTCCATTTCTTTGTGTCTTCCTCAATTTATTTTTATGAGTATTTTTAAGTTTTCTGAATACAGATTCTTTGCCTCTTTGGTTAGATTTATTCCTAGGTATCTTATGGTTTTGGGTGCAATTGTAAATGGGATCGACTCCTTAATTTCTCTTTCTTCTGTCTTGTTGTTGGTATGTAGGATTGCCACTGATTTCTGTGCATTGATTTTATATCCTGCCACTTTACTGAATTCCTGTATGAGTTCTAGCAGTTTTGGGGTGGAGTCTTTTGGGTTTTCCACATAAAGTATCATATCATCTGCAAAGAGTGAGAGTGTGACTTCTTCTTTGCCCATTCAGATGCCTTTTATTTCTTTTTGTTGTCTGATTTTTGTGGCTAGGACTTCTAATACTATGTTGAATAGCAGTGGTGATAGAGGACATCCCTGCTGTGTTCCTGACCTTAGGGGGAAAGCTCTCAATTTTTCCCCATTGAAAATGATATTTGCTGTGGGTTTTTCATAGATGGCTTTTATGATATTGAGGTATGTACCCTCTCTCTCTATACTCTGAACACTTTTGATCAAGAAAGGATGCTGTACCTTGTCAAATGCTTTATCTGCATCTATTGAGAGGATCATATGGTTCTTGTTCTTTCTTTTCTTAATGTATTGTATCATATTGATTGATTTGTGGCTGTTGAACATTG